TATTTTCAGGTCATTTCAATTTCATTTGTATAGCACCAAATCATAACATACATTATCTACAGGCACTTTACATAGAAGACCTTAAACATTATAGAGAAACCCAACAGTTCCCACAATGAGCAGCACTTAGTTGACTGTAAAGAGAAAGAAACTCTCTCAACTGGAAGAAAAATGGGGAAACGAAAAGAGGTAGGTGGAATAGTAATAATGTAGCGAATGATGTAGCATTTTAATTCCAACATACAGAAAGTCTCCTTTATTTATGCAGAAACTAATCGAAACATCTTAAAGTTATATTAGTAGAGAAAGAGGTGAATCAATAAAATAAAACCAGCACAAATCAATTCATTTGGCATAAATCACACAATTTATTTGATATATCTTAAACATACATTAGGTTTGTCCCATCAATGCAACATGTTATATCAGTGTCCCATTGGAAATTTTAATGCATCTTAGGATGATAGAAACAAAGTGTGGTGTTTGTGAAACGAATGTGATCACACCGAAGAACGGTACCAATTCAGTGATGTCATTACTTATAAGCAAAAAAAAAAAAAAAAAGTATATATGCTGAGCACAAATCATCAGTGAACCCCTGTGACGCCATCTAAAAGTGTGACTATTTCCTTTCCCTCATTTTAAAATTGATATTCCTGGTTAATTTTATCCACATAAAAAACCTAAAGTTAAGTGTTTAAATATAAACCTGTAAGTGATGCCAACAATCCCAACAGTGACACTCTAATGACATAATTATAGACACATATCAATAACTAAAAGAGAGGGTTGACTGGTGACTTTGACCAAGAATCAAATCAAAAGGAACTTGCTTGTAAGTGTGAACATCGTGATTCTACTTCAGTCCTGTCCAGTGTAAAATGTGACACTGTAAAACACGAGCGTGTACATAGGTTGAACATCGTTCTAGGTAAAATAAAGGAATAATATTACAGAAATCATTCATCAGGGTACTTAAATGCAATAATAATGAAGTGAAGGGACAAACATCAGTATCACAATATAAAAAGTAAACAAAACAAAATAGAAAAACTGATAAAATTCACATAATTTGCTCTGCGCTGTATGAAAATATGATTTAACTGGCAAGAGCTACAGAATGGCCTTTAAGAATTATACGCATCTCTAGTTTAGTTTACATTCTATCACAAGACTCTCGTAAAGTCCTAACTTCTCGTATGCTGCTTGTGACGGAGGTCCAAACACACAAAATAAAACATGCGTCCCAAATGATTTTCCTTTTTTAAACATGTAAGTAAGATTCCTAGAAAGCATACTCAATGGCAACAGCAAACCAGATAAGATATGTGAAATAAGCTAACTTAGTTCGGATGGATACTACAAAAGATAGAGAGCGAGCAACTTACATCAATCACCGAAAACTATACGCCACCGAAACAAAGCAAGCGTGTGTCTGAGCTATAGCAGATGGCGATTCTGCGAAGATACACGAGTAAAAAGCGGATATGTGATATATTGGTCCTTGTGCCAAAAGGCGAAAACATCACAAGAGCTCATGAGTCCTCAATTTGTGCAATATTCAAATGGAAAAACTCTCACTACAACGATAACTGGACATTTCACATGTTTGACCAGCCTATTAAAAACCAATCCACTGGCTCCTCGGAAAACCACTTCTATTAAAAACATACTGATCTAAAAAAAAAACAACTAAAAACTCAATGTATTAAAACATGTCGTGGATGGAAATATCCAGTAATGAACACCACACACTCACAACAAAATGATATTGTCAAGACTTAACGTTTTCTTCCTCAATTAGCTTTTTTCCCCCCACCAACATGTACGTTACCTTCAGTCCAGCAGCGACAATATGTAAACAACACACTGAGAGGGCTGAGCTCTAGCTGTTACGGGCAGGGATTGGCTGAGGGGTTTGATGGACACTTGGTAGGCGGGGTCTTGTCAGCTGACGTCAGTAGGCTGGAGGGTGTTTGTCGTCACGGAACTCAACTGGATCAGAAATGAAAAGTGATAATTCGATAAGAAACAAAAGGACATGGACAATATGAAAGCTGTAACCTGTGACCTATATGAGTGCACATGCATTGAAATGATTGGATGGGGGGTAAAAGTCACTGATGTTTTTCTTTGAATACAATTTTGATGGAGGGAAAGAACACCAACGCAAAGAAACAGGAGAGAAGAGCAGCAGGATGCCCGAGGTGACATTACTTGGTGGGGACGGTGGGCGAGCCGGAGCGGTGGAAGTGGATGTTCTGCCACTTGCTGTCGCGGCGGTGCCAGATGCGGGTCTCCTCTGACTGCATGGTGCGAGGCATGCCGTTTCTGTCGATGTACTGGGTGAGGCGGATGTAGGCGATGCAGGCCGCCTCGTCCCCGATCAGGTGGACGTGGGGATTGAGCAGGATGGTGTGGATTGGCTTCCCCTTGGACAGAGCTGCAGAGGGAGAGACGAGGAGGATCGGGAGGATCGGGAGGATCGGGAGGACGGGGGGGCGGGAGGGTGGAGCAGAAAACTTTGAAACAGGAGGCGTAAACTATGCAAAGAGCATGTCTGACTGGCAATGACCTACAAGGTGTCGTGAATCTATGGGCTTTGCATTGTTCTAGGTGAAAAATAAATATTGGTCAAACATTCTTTGTTTTAAATCCACAACCCTGCACACCCTGCATCCTCATTACATAAACTGTTCTCATCAGCGATCACAGCATGATGAGCTCATTTAAATAAATGTCATCTAGAGCTTTTAGTACATGACATTTCATAGATTCCATCAAAAAATCTAATTAGCCTATCACATTAGCATTTAAATATTCAGCATTAAATTAAAAGAGACACAGTTCTTCCTGTTTTTTTCCTGCCAGAAATAGAGAAAATGTCAAATAAAACTTAAAGTAATAAGTTTTTCCAGAATGAAAAACCAAAGTGTTTCACCCATTTATCCATCAGGACCTGTTTAATGATTGGACGTAGTTTCTCTTTATAGTAGTTCACCTGACTTTTAAAAGCCTCAGTGGCAGAAAGTCTGATTCAAATTAATTTTGCCAAAATAAAGACATGACAGTAAATGTTGTGCTTTCAGTCCCAATGATTTGTTTGTTTTGTATTTAGAATCTGGATGAGCCAAGTCATCTCTTTCTGTCAAAAACAAGAATGTCTACACATGGTAAGGTTGGCATTTCAAACTTTATCATCACCACAAAAGAAATATTATTTGTCCGTTGACTTAAGGTGTAAGATAAGATTAAAATAAAAACTTTGTCCTGACGCCATCTTCGTCTACACTGCGTTACTTTATCCATTATTGTTATTGTTACCGTTCTCAAAGTAGAAGCGGTGGAAGTCGGTGCCCTCCACCAAGTTTCCCATGGCCTCAGGCTCAAAGGACGTGAGGCCAGGATCACAAATCTTCCTGATAGAGAGCACGCAGACAGGAGGTTACACTAGTGCATGACTGAGAACACTTGACATGTGGATATTATTCAGATTTGAAAAAATGAAACCAGTTGAACTGACGTGTAGGCCTCAAAGTCTCCGTTGTTGATGGCCTCAATCAGCTGCTCTGTGACTTTAATGATCTCCTGCTTCCGGGCTGAGAGACAAAGACAGAGTTAGATTTGCAAATTAAACTCGTGGTGAATGTGAAAAGAAGCACGGATTAAAGTAAAACAACTACATTAGTGTGAAACATGAGGACGACATCGATCCAGCATCACAACATCAGGACGTTTAGGGACAGAAAGAGTCACAACCAAAAAAATGTGAAAGATACAGAATGAATGAAGGAAAGACTGGTGGGAAGTTAAGTCAGCATGGTTCAACATGGACGACATCAAAATTACCTTTCATGCTAAGTAGGTAACCTAGGAGACAATGAATGGAAAGAATAAGTGCGGTTGTTGAGGCTTGATAAAAGTATAACCACTACTGACAGTTAGAATATGGAGACGAGTGGGAACATGGTGGAGTCAATGAATGAGACACACACACACATGCACACACACTTTTACCTTCCTCAGTCTCCAGTGCACTGTTGTTACCAGCGAGCTGAACACTCACAGTCTTCCGCTGTGCACTCATCCCCTCCACTGACACCAAAACCAAAAAGCTAACAGCCAGGAGGTGAAACATGCTCCCTTCTAAATACTCCTCCTTTGCTCAGGACTCAAACTAGCAGCTCCAGCAGGAAAAGACACGATCGGACAAGAGGAAAACCAGAAATACAAAAAAAAACTGACTGGTTTTGTGGAAAGCCTGACAGAGTGAAAACACTGTTTATCATCCGTGGACTCTGCTTTGCAAACGCTGTGTTGACCAGGCGGACAGAAACGTTCTAGATAAGTCTGCTTATGCACACAAATTGAACATTTTTACGAAACGGTGCAGATAACGTTTGTCCACAGCGACATTGTGACATAAGTGGTATAAGGTTCAATTTCTTTTCCAGGGAAGTTTCAAAAGAGGAGAAAGGGGAATCAAAGCACCCGAGCCACAACCAACACTTGACTGGTTGTCTCGAGGTGTTTGCTCGAGTTTGATTCGTGAGAACTGCAGCAAGTGTTTATATTTACACATATTGTTCTTCTGTCCTTCACGGGAGAGCGATCCCTCACTTCTTACTCTCCCTGGGGCTTCTGTGGGGTTTTTCTTTACCCTGGTCGGGGGTTAAGGGCAGAGGATGGTACACCTTGTTCAGATAGTTAAGCCCTATGAGGCAAGATGTCATTTGTAGTAAGGGGCTATATGTTGCACAAATTAACTAAAGCGTTAGTTCAGCCAGGCCACAGAGTCAGGCTCAGCTCACCTGACAGCTCCAGCAGCTGATCTCAAAGTAGGTCAGCATCATGGCTCAGCTGATTCCCTTCCATGCATTCATTAACAAAACTCAAACAAGGCACCTTATCTCAGCTGCTTCAGCCAGCATGCCCCTGCTGCTTCCTCTGCAAGACGTTTGGCAACCCACCTCCACCCCAGCTCCCCCTTTTTTCCTCCTGTGTTTGATTTATTCAGTTGTTATTGATGCCTGCTCAGTTCTGATCCCTTTGGGGGGGGTCTTGCTGCTGCTCTTCTTGTCTGAAACTTTCCATGAAGGCACATGGAACAACAGAGAGGTGTGCTCTCTCTGTCTTAGGCTTTCTGCGTATGCAGGGGGGTCCCTGAACAGAGCCATACCGACAAATGTAACTGGTGCAGATGCAAATGAAAATGTATCTGACGAGTAAGGTCAAATAAAGTCCGAACTGAAAGAACATTTGGTTGATTGATTCATACTGAGATCCTATAGTTAGTTACCCACAGATTACTGTATTTAGATTTTTCAGCAATAACAAGTATTTATTATTTGAATGAATTGTTCTACATTTTGCTTTTTAAATACTTTTAAAATGGAGCTATTGTTGTTTCACTGTGCATCAGAAAACAACAACACAATCTAGATCATGCTTATTGTGCTGCAGAAATGATAAACATTAATGTTGACACAGTTTGATTCAGCTATGAGTCTATAAAGTACATACTGAAAGTAAACTTGAAACTTTTCCATATGAAGGCTACAAAACAAGCCTCATTTAACTGCTCATTAAAAAAGCACAGGCAGAACAAAGGGAATAGTAAGCACCGACAAAGTCAATCAATCAATCAATCAATCAATTAAATGTTATTTATATATTCACAAATCACAATTTGTCTCATAGGGCTTAAAGAAGTCAGGGTGTTGGGATGGCTCCTGACCGACCTGTAGGGGGTGCTATAAGACAGCAGGTCTGCACTCACATAACTGAGGTGTGGTTCGGCGAAGCTACACAGGAAGTCTCTCAAAGAAGTACATGAGCTCACTTTATGAAAACGTGAGCCGATTGCTTTGCTAGGAACATTTTTAAATTCAAACAATGTTGTGCGTCGCCTCCACATGCATAGTGATCAACATGCAGTCTATTTAAAGTAAAGTACAGAGTTAACAGACTCAACTAAACTCAGTTACACTTCTTGACTACATTTTCTTCTGCAAAGACTCTGCAGTTCTACTTCTTGTAAAAATTGGTTATACAGAGAAGGAGCTGAAGCTCACAGCATCCGCCTGTGAATTAGAACTTACACTGGGAGTTGGTGGGCAGGGGCTGCCCATGCTGGGGGCGGGGCCCCTGCGTGGGGGTTTGATGGGGGCCGCAGTAGCATATCTTAGGATGGTCAGAGAAAAAGACCAGGAAGGAAGATATGAAGAAGAGGAACAGGTAGGCAGCCACCAGTGCCCACAGGATGTACTGGCAGAACTCCTGACCACTGGGCCAAACGCTAGGAGAGTACCAGCAAGAGGAGGAGGAAGAGGAGGAGGAGGAGGAATGGGAGTGAGATGAGGAGTGGTCTAAATGCTTCAGGTGGTAGATGTGGGGACGGCAGGAGGGAGAGTGTGCTGAGAAGAATAGGTTGTAGGATGGAAGGAAATGCCGACCAGCATGTGGACACAACAGCAGTGAGAGGAAAAAAGTGAAATGGAGAAAATGAAAATGTGAAATGAAGAACACATGAAAAGCAGGAAATGACAATGTTCAGAATTAAGCTGACAACAACTCAGCTTGGATGGAGCGGAAGATTGGTCGACAGAACAACAGTGATGTGAGATGCTCCATTTCCTCTGGTGAACAGCGATGATGCAGCAGCCTCGTATATTATTAGTTTAGAATGGTCGTGAAAAGATTTGTTTGACTGTCGTCCACCAGCACAGAGAGAGGTCTGTCAGTCCCTACAGGAGGTCACAAATTATATCTCTTGATTATGTGAAGGCAACTTTGCACTTTTGCCTTAAGAAGTTTCAAATAAAATTGTGTGTAAGCTTTATATAAAAACATTTTTTTTTAGATTCTGTATATTAGGGAGCATATTTCCGTAAAAAAGCCTTAAATCCTCAAGGAACTGTTTGGTAGGATCAATATAAAGTCACATTTGAACAGCAATACATGGCGTTTGGTTAAACTGTATTCTCGTTCACCACTATTAAATCAGCATTAATTGATTTTTGGCCAATCTGGGGCAGATATGTTGCTATGTTACACTGGTCTCGCACTGAGTTAACGCGTGATGGTGGCCGTGCTCGATGCAGTCACATACAGTTTCACGCTTGGGACACGCGTGGCAGGCTTTTAAGCTAGCGTGCCATACTAGCGGCTGTGGTCGCTTCTCGGATCGTGATGGTGAATCACGGTGGCAGCTGATGGAGGATTATTATTACGACTAGATTGTTTAGATATACAACATGCCAACTCACAAATGCTAAACTGGTTGGAAATTGTTTTTCCTCACCCTTGCTGAGGATGTCACACTTTTTTTAGCCCTATAGGCAAATTGTGATTTTAAAAAATGGGCGATAAAAATGTTTGCTTGATTTATAAATTGATTGACTAGTTATCAGTGCAATGCTAAAGATAAGTAAACAGGAAATACAATCCGCAACCAGATGAACACACCAAGTTCACCAGCTGCCTCTCTCCCATATGTTCTGCTGAACTTCTGCCATACACATCGCATGCAAACGAACCGCAACGCACTTCTGCAACAAATTATGTCAAAGTGAATGAGTGGCGTTTTACTTCACGTGTCCAACGCATATGTGCAAATAAGCTATCACATATTCATCGTATAATCCTACACCACTGAGATACATGCTCCCTATGAAGGACAACACTGCCTCCACTTCTCAACCAACTTCCTAAAGAGAAGACAGAGTGCTTTACAAAATCGATTTAGTATAGAGGAAGTTAAACACTCTTAGGACACAGCCTCCTAACAAAAAAAACCTAAACTAAACAAATACAACAAGAAAATATGGTGTCCATCATACATGTAGGTGTAAATGAATAGGAAATCTCCTCATTGTCATTCCTACCACTAGCTCCTCTGAAGACCACTGCTGTGAAACTCACAAAAGATGTCATGATTAAAATCTTCCCCCACAAGATTTCTAAGCCCCTTTTTAAACTGAGAGTCTGATTGAGAGCACGCATGTAAGACAGAAGAGCAGCTGTAATACAAAATGTGTGTGAGAGAATAATAGCAGGGAGAAATGATACGGGGGAAGGGGCTGTCTTAATTTGAAAAAAAAAGAAAAAAGAAGAGGAACACATCTTACTGAACACTATAATAAGAAGAGCAATTGCAAAGCTCTGATGAATGAGGTTACTGGAGCATTGAGGAATGACGATCCCGTCAGCCATGAATAACAATGGAGGCCAGTATAAAGGGCAGAGGCATGTCTGTTAATGGACCTGTGTACATACTGGAAGTACAGATGCGCACAGAGCAGGACCGTGAGGAGCCCCAGGAAGGAGAAAATGCTTTGTAAGATGGTTAAAAGATGGAATAACTAAATAAAATCGAACTTGACTGATAGATTCTCTGCTCTATCAAAGGTCGCTGCTGTGGAGAACAAGCACATAAACACAGGCAGGCAGACAATCACAAATCAATCACAGTCCTTGGTCAAGTCCAGCTGAAAATATCCACTTCACCGATAAGACACACAAAGGCCCTTCTTCATTTTTTTAATGTCACTTCCTGTCTGTTTTTCTACTCTAAGCTCTGAAGTGCCGGGTAAACTTGCACTGAACAGTCTCACACTTTGTTTCCTGTAGTTCAGTCACAAAGCAGTCAACACAGGGGACCTAAACTCTGCTCGAAGCCAATTTTAGCTACGGATGATTGAAATATGAGCACTCTGCAGTTTATTACAAAGCACCTCACAACACAACTGCACTGGACAGAGTGAATATTTGCCCTTGGGCCCCAAATGTGTGTTTTCAAGCCCCTAGTGTGTGGGACCCAAAAGAACCCTTATCAACCGTTTGGTTCGTGGCAATTCGGTCATGCAGCTATTCAAAGGTCCCACTTCAAATTCTGGATTTCAATGAAATAAATTTGAGCTCCACCAAATTACCACGAGCAGGGGGGGGGGGGTCAATAGGGGCCACAGGTCAGTCCAAACATGGTTTCAGTACATGGTACTTCCCAACAGGAAGATTAAGCAGCATGGACAATGAGAAATGAAACATGTTGATAATACACTAATACAACATGCAAGATATTCATGCAATAGACAACAGATAAGAGGGTGCAGTCAAAACAATTGTTAGTTCAGAAACTAGCAATAATAAGAAGGAGTAACCCAGAGAGGGATAAACTGGGTGACAGACTTTTACTAAGGTGCGAGGGAGCAGTCCTGCTAACAGAGTGGTGTTTTGTATTGGTTGGTCCAAACCTCCCTACCTCTCACGTCCTCGTCCTCGATGGTGGTGTTGGCACTCTCGCTGGACTCCTGTGAAACAACGCAGAAAAAAAGACCAGTGAGGATAACCAGGCAGTTGACGAGACATGTTGAGGACATGTACTGTAGGACACAAGAGTTCCAGCAGCTCCTGTTGCTGAACTCAGACATTCAACACGCTCTCTACAAAGAACAGTGGATCAAATGGGCGTTGAAAATGAGTCTAATGTAATGACCAGTTTAATTACCAGGATCTTCCCTTTCTTTTTTTAACCCTTTGACACACGTATGATCTTATGTTACACGAGACATTACTTGTACAACGCAAGAACAAATATACGATTTACAGAATATTGGACTAGTACATGGGATGAATTTAGAAACACCTAAACACCCTTTGACACCTTGCTATGCACGGACACACATTAGGTAAACCTATGAGCACCAACACCATATTGTCACTGCACAAAGCAAATAAACACAAGCATGCACATATGTTCCCCCTTATGGATTCTACATTATGATGTAGATCCATACATAGAAGCAGTAGATGGACCCCAGGCTATTCTGTTAAGGATTTGGCTTGTGGAACAGCTTTCGAATCCATGGTTGCATGACTCTGCTATGTTCCAGTAACATGCATAATCCCCCTGTCACACAACTGTAAAAGCGACTTATGTTATGATGACAACAGCAGCACACGCTCGTCAAAATGGAGAGCAAAAGACAAAACTGTAAACATGGATTAGCATTATTAAGTTAAATGACATGCAACAGTTGATAACAGCATGCGACACCAGTCCATGGCCCCTTGTTTTCCCATTTGACAAACATGAGGCTCTACTCTAAATGGCACACACACACACACACACGTCAGGAGCAAACTACAACCTCGGACAAGCATCTGATCCGCTGTATACCTTGTTTCCATCAGCTGGGTTGTGGATTACAGTGGTTTGAGGCTCCTGATTTGAGAGGTCAGTGCAGAAAGTGGGTTAGGGGAAAAAGTTGGACTGGAAAACACTTTGCAAGAAAGGAAAGGACATGACAGTTGTGAAGGAGGTAAGGGTCAGAATTGGAACAGAATCACTACAGCATTCTGCAGCATACAGACAGATGGGATGTTACAGCAGTGGAAGTTGTGACTATTCCCAGAACATCAGGTAAAGAATATCATGTCTTTCACCACAGATGATTAACTTTCAGCCAGCACTGACAACAAGATGATAAAAACGGACATTAAACACAGACACCATGATCTGCTATAAATGCTTTAACTGACATCCAACATTCTTTTTGAAGCTACAACACCCAGGACAGTTTCAGATGCAAGGCAGAGCATTCACACACAACTTTACAGTCACATTAAACATAAACCTGTATAAGATCAAAACAATATGTGATATATTAAAGAAATCTGAAAGGTTAACAGAAGTGTCCCCCTCACAAGTCTGCTACACCGGTGCTTACTAGCCAACCGGCACTTCATGAACACTGTAGTTTATGGTACAAAGCTAAATCTTGAAAGAAAAAATGTAACATTTGGTGGCATAGACTTATTAGTTTTCTTTCCAGCAGGAGGAGGATACGTTTGATATCAATCTTATGTCCCCATGTTAATTACAAAGCTTTGAGGATGTGTTCTTGTCCAGTTCAAAAAACACACCTGCCAACTTCTCTTAAAGGTTCAGTGAAAGGGCTCTTTATATTTGAATACCATGTATTTACATCAGTAGCAGGTCCTCCACCATGTTTTTTTAAAACTAAGCACCTTTGACTATGACTGAACTGAAGAGGTACTTAGCTGCAACACCACTAGAAGTCACTAAAACAAACTAAAACTTTGAACATCACTAATTTAACTGATGGTAATTTTAAGTTTTATGTGAAGTAACAAGCTGGTGCTGAGTCATCCGTCTCACAATGGGACAAAAGCTGGAAGATGCTCTTTGACAACTTTATATATATATATATATATATATATAACTACAGTGTTAATTACTGGATTGTAAAGGTGTTAACAGAACCATACACTGACCGTTTCCCCCTGATTTCAATCTTCATGCAACATGACACACATAAATAAGACTGGCATGAATGTTCCCTCTATCTTTAAATCTTCAGTCACTGTGGTTGTGAAAATGCTTCCAACAGGTATCTACAGAAGACAAAAGACCTCAGAAACATATGGCTACTTGACAAGTCTCAGCCCAATAACAAGCCAGTGTTGACTCCACTTTGACTGACAACAAAGACTTGACCTGTGGCTACAGTGCCTTAGAGACAGCTGACATGCAATGGCCCCAGTGCTGCCATTACAGTCATCATCAACAACAAAGGTGAATGTAGCCCATGTACAGCGATATGGAAATGCAACGAAGCCCCCCTGTGTGTAGACAGCTCATGCTACACAACCACTAAAGACATCTGAGGCCCATAAGCTTTATGGAGAAAGGAAAGAAAACAGATCACCATCAACAATAAAGAGAGATAGGTGTAGAAGTCCACAGAGCTGAGTATTGAGGACAGATAGACAGTTAAACACAAACAGTCATGCAAAATGCAGGCAGTGAGGCAAGCAGACAGTGTACCAGAGAAGGAGTGGGGACAGGCTCTTTTGGGCTGGTGACCACATTGGCCTTGTTGTTGATCTGGAGGGACAGAGTGGACAGACAGGTAGACAGGCGGGACAGGGCAGAAGTGACAAGGCTTAGTGTCCACACACTAATGCGAGCAGCTGCTGTGGAGGGAAAACGTGGAGCATTGTGCTCATGAGTTCCTGTCAAAGACTCACATCTGTATGATCCAGCACAGAAGAGTTCAACTTGAGTTTTTAGTTTGAACAGGGTGAGCAAATAAACCACTTTTAATCAAACTCACAGCAGAAAAATAAAGCAACATGTGAATGAATAAATACAAATTAACAATCTACATAAAGTGAAGAGCTGATAAAGCAAGTGGGAGATTTCTTATCACCTGCATCCAGTGTTAGATAAAGACATAATGACAGTCTGATGCAAACCAGGTGACCCAATTACTCTGGAGAAGAATAACAAATTAGATGAACCTCTGCTCTGACAACTTGTTACGAGTGCTGCTTACTGTGCGTACCACAGTAGAACCACAGCATGTGTTCTTTTAAGTTGCCACATCCTTTGATAACTGTTCTCTATGAGACCTGGATAAGGGACCTGGCATGAGGATGATGGGTTCTGTGCGTTTTTCAGGCAAAAACCAAAATTTTCCTTTGCCCAAGAAATTACAATGAAGTTCTCATCTGGCTTGACGGGTTTATTACTTAGCACAAGGATCCACGATGGAATGTTTGAGGAGATTACATGCCATATGGCCTGAATATGACATGTAATCCCCTTACATAATACACTTTGACAAGACGTCGTTTCTGCAGCCATGCTCGCAGCTCTGTGAAGCTGTAACAGTGATGTTTTTCGGTTGATTGCTAACATCAACATGCTCACGATGACAATAGTGACATCTTGATGTTTAAAGAGCAATGTTAGCCATTTTAGTTTAGCACGTTAGCATGCTAAATTGATTTGCACTAAATGTAAGGTAAGGCTGAGGCCGATGAGATTTGTACTAGTTGGTGAGTTGTGAGAATGACAAAAGATCAATGTGATTGCAGTTCATCCTGAGAGGAACATGAGTTTTTGGGCCGAATCCTATTACTCTGAACCAAAAAAAAACAGACAGTAGTTAAAAAGTCATGAAATCAACTACGTCATACAGATAAAAGACAAAAAAGAGAGTAAAGGTAAAAGGGGGACTCCACAGTTAAACAATCTTAATGTTTTATACTGTATTTCACAAATCTAGAATTATGCAAAATATGTCCTTGGACAAAAATAGTACACAAAATGTAGCTGACATAAACAAAACATCAACCAAATCACATATACAGGATCATTAATAACCAAATAGTGTTTTTGTTCCATGACACTCAGCTATGAAAGCTAAGATAAGACTCATATAAACAGATGAACACCAGATAACAGGTTCAACAGTTGTGTTTGTTAAAAAACAACAGTTCAACGTGCTAATCTACTATGAGTCTACTATATTATACTAAAGCTTCAGCAGTATTTTACTTGATGTANCTGGTTTGCACTTTGTTGAAAAATAAATAGAATTTCTCTACATTATTGCATTAAGGCTGGGGATGCACTATATGAAGCAAACTTAACTTTAAAAAACTGCTTGATAAACAAAACTTACTTTCCAGTTTGGAGCAAGTTGTTGCTTTTTTACAAAAATGATGGTATAAAGTGTGTGTTGTCGTATTTTGACTCTCACTTTCAACCAAACTCCTGCCCTGGTTCACAATAGTGTTTCTTTATAAACCTGTCATTTGAATGCCCAGAGAAAAACACAATAACAAAGCATCAGTATACATCACTACAGATGCTGCACGCTGATCATGACTTCAAGTCAAGATGATGAATGTCTTTGACACAGGGGACAGACTGATAATCTTTCTCAGGAAAAAGATTCATTTGAAACAGAACTGATCTCACTTATTGTCCCATCTCCTCCTGTTTACAATCACAGAAGATACAAGACTTGAAGCTGATTATCTCAGCAGCTCTGTGTGGCCACTGTGACTTAGTTTGAAAAAGTGGATCAGTTAACCACTTGGGCATTAAACTGAAAATGATTGCTGCAGTTTAACAAGATCAGATCCAGGGCTGTACTCAGGACAAAAAACTATTGACATTATGAATCCTTTAAAGGTATGAAATAAAGGTTTCCAAAACCACCAAATACCCAGAATAAAACACTGAGTTTATGACAAACAATGGCTATGATCATTGAAGTCTGAGAGTTTAAGTAGATTGTTGATGGATTCCGGAATCTGTGAAAACACTTCATATACAGTTGGTATGACTTATACAGTCTGCTCAGTAAGTTAGTGCCTCCCCAGCCTTTAGCAGTGTGCAGCACATAGACACAAGGGCTTTTCTACAGCTAACTACCCAATGCAGGTGTCTGGATCTGGTAGAAGCAGCTGGAAGCTCAGGCCTACCCTTAAATGTTCTGCACTGTCCGTCTTCCTTTTCTACGTTGAGCAGCCACAACACAACAAAATGGAAATTAATCTAAGTGTGACTGTGCAACCAACACTCAAAAACACATACTCTTTCCATAACTCTTAAAGACAATATACTGAAAAATGCCCCCAGCAGGTTAGGTGGCTTTTACACAGGCTCATCTGCCCCAAAAATAAAACACATTTCATCGTTTTTCCTGTTGATTACAAACTGCAGTGATTTAGCCTTTATTCAGCAGATAAGCACACACACATTTGAGAGCAGCAACAGTGGAGTATTTGGATTAAACAGGTGGGCAGTTGGCATCACAAACAGTAATTATTGCGACTGAACATGCGAGACTGCCACCACCAGAAGCTCATCAGAAGAAAACAAGAAAAACCCATTAGTCTTTCAGGCAGCTCTGATGAAAGAGGAGAGAGGAAATAAGTTGAACCAGAGTTACAATCAGCATGAAACTTTGAGAGAGAAGGGAGAATAATTGTCTGTAGATCCATTGGTTTTGGTTTCACAACATACTGACTGAAGAGCCTCAGCGCTCTCATCCACCTTGATTCCACCAGACGTCTGTTTTTTTATTTTATTAATTTATTTCAAATAGAAAAGGCTCTGATACTCTGTTCACCACCTGCTCAGGACCAAACAGTAGACAGACAGCCAGAGAGCAGCTGGTGAATAAAGTGGAGCTTTTAGCAGCTGAAGCACCAGCTTTAAATAACCTCATGTAATGTTGTGCGTATTAGCATTTCCCTGTTTCCCTCCATTCCTTGTCATACCCAAGTGCATTAACTTACATTTGTGCCCAATGCATAAACAGGTGATGTGCCCTGAAGTCACATAAATAAAATCTGCTGTGAGCACAAACAGCCAAGTAAAAATGGAGGACTGTGAATTACCCACATAATTGTCAGCACTTCTCCAACATGTGGAGTGGAGACTCCACTGGTTGGAGGCAGAAGTATCAGAGGCAAATATTCTCAGAATCTCTGCTGTTAAACTGAATCTGTACACACACACACACACACACACACACA